GCCACGCGCGTGTCCGGATCCGCATTTGATGCCATGTGCACTGGGCAACGCGTACCTCTTACGGTGGATATGCTGTGTGGCCCGATGGGTGGACCAGACCACACGCTGGTGGTGGGCAGGTTGCCGCTGAAGCTACAGATTGCTAACGACGCTGTCGTGGGGAGGACCACCTGGGCCTCCGCGCGCGAGTGGGACCGCGTGCTGGACAGGGCGCCGCCGCAACTTCGGCGGCCTTCGATGCCGCAGTGCCGCTGTCCTCCGACCCAGCGCTCGCGCCGCGTGCTTTCCGGGGCTGGGCCACGCGAGGCGCCCCCAAGATGGCCCGACGCAGGCACGGACCGCGCGCCTGGCCCGAGCCCAGCGCAGGGCCAAAAGCCCCGCCTGCGACCCGCGCGGACGACGACGACGACGACGACGACGACGACGACGACGACGACGACGACGACGACGACGACGACGACGACGACGACGACGACGACGACGACGAGAGATGCACCGCCTGCGCCCCCCGGTCTGTGCTCGGTGCCGCGAGATGCCGTCAGGTGCTGCAGGGCATCCGGCCGGGCTGGTCCACGTGCGCGCCCCCCTGGGGAAGGCGGAAGGCGGGGCCCGCGCCCCGCCTGCGCCACCTCCGGCCAGACAGTTCTGCACCGCTCGCCGAGGTCGGGGCGGCATCGGCGGAGGCGGCACGGGAAGCGCGGCGGGGGACCCTTCGGAGGTGCGTGGCGCTTCGCGAGTCGCACCCGGGGGGCGCAGGTGGGCTCATGCCAGCATGGCCCAAGGCTGGAGCGTCGTTGCAGCGTGGCTCTGAAGGTCGAGGCGATGGGAACGGTGTTGTCCATGGACGGCATGGCGCAGGAGCTCGTGTCGGATTCGTTTCCCCAGAATACTTTCCCGCAGGACCCCCAGTCCGCGGAGCGTTTCGTAAGACAAAAATCCGCCGTCCGTGCATGCGGCGCTGCTCCGAGGTGCCTCGGGGGAGCCTCTCGGCCCCCCGCGCAGCCACCCCAGGACCAGGGTCCGTACAGCAATGCGGCATTGGCCGAGGCCATCTCGCGTTTGCACGCGGGCAAGAACACCTTGAGTTGCGCTGCCGCGACTTTGAAGGCAAACGCTTGTCAGGGTAGGAGATTGACGTCCGCATTCGCCAATTTCTCGCGACACTTTTGCCTATCGTTTTCGCTGTGATGTCTCCGCAAAGCTGCGCCCATACGCAAGAATGATGGTCCAAGCGTCGCCTACTTATCCAATCGCTTACGCCCCATAAGCATCTGTTGTGATTTTGCCTAGGCGATGGACGCATTATGGGTGGGGCGAAATTTTCCGGCGATCATTCGTTTCTGCGGCTAAGCCCAGATCGGTAGCGTTTCCGACCCGGTGTTGCGGAGAACATACCGACGCATTTTGCCGTCAATGGGGCGTCGACGCAGCGATACACAGCGGCATGTTCGTGAACACTTTCGGAGTGGTTGTGGATAGACGACGTGGTGCGCAAGGACAGGCAGGTTTCTGGAGTTGCACGGCATCCCGTCGTTGCCCTTCGTACTCGCGTGCGGCCTGGCGCAAGGGCGCCGCTTTTCAGCGCCTCTCTTCAACGCCCTCCGCGATCTGCGCGACATCATTGCCGAAGTGGTGCCCCAGGGGTGCTGCCGCCTCCCTCCCCACGTGGGTCCGCGAGACGTTGGTATTGGCAGACGCAGCGGTGCCGGCGCAGTCCTTCGCTTGCCCGCCATGTGCCAACGCTCGCGTGCGCGGTTGTTCCGAGCAGGTAGCCGGTGTGCTGCGCAGCGCGGAAGAAGCGGCGGCTGCCCAGGCGCCGACCGTGCCTGTTGTGCTGGCGGGTCTTCCTCGTCTTGCAGACCGCCTCGCTGTTGTCGACTTGCTTGGCGCCGCTTCGCTAACCTCTTCACAGTCTATCGACGATTGCGTCGCCGCGTGCCCATCGATCGGGGGTCTGCGGGCTATCCCTGGTCATACGCGCAGAGGGCCAAGGCATGGGAAGACTTCAGGGATTGTCTGGGGCGGCAGCGCGGCGTTTGACCCCACGGGCATAGGTTTTGATCTCTGTGTCTCCCGCGAGCTGCTGGGCATCAAGCTGGACGCCGACATGTCATCATCCGTTCAGCGTGTTCATTGCTGGCGCGTGGCCGCGTTGTTTTCGACGCAGAGGCTAAGGACTTCCAGTGCTGGTGTTCGCCGCTCTGGTCCCGCCGCGGATTGAGGACGCGATCATGTGCGGAGCCGCACTCTTGTGGTGTGTTCCGAAGGTGGAGGTGGGCCCTGACAACTTACAAAACTATTGAGCTTGCGCCACGCTGGGGTGCCAGCGGGACCCGCGCCTGAACTGGGCCCTGTCCAGGGATCAGTGCGGGTGGAATTTGCGGCTTGGCACTCGCATGATTGCGCATGTTTTGATGGCGCGCGCACATCGGTGGCTGTTGCCCGTCGGCCACCCTGCGGTCGTCATGCGCGAGGCGAGGCTGTCGAGGCCTCCCGTAGATGGACAAACAAGTGGAAGTCTTGACACCACGCCCCCCTCCCCCCCTAATTTCAAGGTTGGCCTCAAGCATTCGGCAGCACAGGCGTGAGAGGACCACAAAATTGGAACCCCCAGGGCCTCTGGGAGGTCGAAGCCAACTTTTAAATCGGGGGGAGGAGAGGGCGAACGCGGGGTCGAAGACGAGTGGGGTTCCACTTTTTGTCCCTTTACCGTCCCCAGCGCCGTCGTGGTGGCACCGCATAGGGCAGCTGCTGGCAGGATTCCCAGGGGGAGGGGGGGGGCTTGACCGACATCGTGAACGTGGCCAACTTTGACGAGCGGATTTTCCACCAGTACCATAGGTAGGAGAGGGAGGAGGAGGAGGAGGAGGAGGAGGAGGAGGAGGAGGACCTCCCCGTCCTCCCTCCTCCCCCGTCTTACCTGTGGTAGTGGTGGTGGGAAATCGGCCCATCAAACTTCGCTGATGCAGTGCCTGGGGCTGTGGCTGCCCCGGCAGCGCGGAGGGTACTCGTGCGGCGCTACAGAGGGAGATTGTCCGCTCGGTCCTCAGCTCCTGCGGCCGCGAGATACGCAAAGCTGCGGCGCGGCACCTTCTGCCAGGTTCGAGGATCCTTTCTCTTTCTTCCGGCCGGCTGTTGGGGCTGATGCGGGGGTTGATTTGCATGCGTTAGAAGGGGTTGGCTCATTGCATTTCTGTTTGTGGGCTGTCTGCCGCGCATCAGGGGAAGGGCCCTTTCCAGTCCTCGGATATGGAACGCTCCAGTGCATTTGGATCGCTGCGGCGCTTGCCCTTGTCAAATCGTGTTGGTCACCCATGCCTTGGCGGCGCGCGCGGATACAGCAGGGCTTCGCGAATAGCTCTGGCGGGCGCAGCGCCCCCATGCTTCCTTCCGGCTACAAACATGGGAGTGGTCCTGCACGCCCCTTTCGGCCCCGCACGCAGACCTGCACGCGTGCGTCACGTGCGTTTCGCGGCGCACGCACTCGTTGCATGCTTGCATGCGGGAAACGTGCCGCGGCCCAGGCGGAGGCTGACGCAGGCGTTGGTGATCCGCCACGAAAAAAACACCCAGACACCCTCCTCTGGCTTGTTCTTGGGCCTCGGGGGAGGGTGGCGGTGTATAAATCACCACTGGGAGCCACCGACTTTCTGCGCCGCTTCCTCCCTGAAGGTGCACGCGAAGTTCGTCGGAGGGCGGCACGTGTGTGTTGCCGTCATGGCGTAGGGCGGCGCGGGGGTGAGCAGAGCGGGCTGCCGGCGGCTGCTGGCGCCCGCCTGGGGCCCGAGGGAGGGAGGCCCCGTTCCGGCCCCCCGGGCGCGCGTGGCCCCTCTCCGTGGCCGGCGCGCGGCCGCGCAAGCGCCACGTGGAGCAAGCGAGGGCGCGAGGGCGCGAGGGAGAGCGAGGGAGGAGGGAGGAGGCAGGAGGGAGGAGGAGGGAGGAGGAGGGAAGAGGAGGGAGGAGGAGGGGAGGAGGAGGGAGGATGAGGGAGGAAGGAGGAAGAGGGAGAGAGGAGGAGGGAGGAGGGAGGAGGGAGGAGGGAGGAGGAGGAGGGAGAGGAGGAGGAGGAGAGGAGGAGGAGGAGGAGGAGGAGGAGGGAGGAGGAGGAGGGAGGAGGAGGAGAGGAGGAGGAGGAGGAGGAGGAGGAGGCGGAGGGGGTGGAGGAGGAGGAGGAGGAGGAGGAGGAGGAGGAGAGGAGGAGGAGGAGGAGGAGGAGGAGGAGGAGGAGGAGGAGGAGGAGGAGGAGGAGGAGGAGGAGGGAGGGGAGGAGGAGGAGGAGGAGGAGGAGGAGGAGGAGGAGGAGGAGGATGAGGAGGAGGAGGAGGAGGAGGAGGAGGAGGAGGAGGAGGAGTAGCAGGAGGGAACAGGAGCAGGAGCAGAAGGAGCAGGAGGAGCAGGAGGAGGAGGAGGACGAGGGAGAAGCAGGAAGGAGGAGGAGGAGGAGGAGGAGGAGGAGGAGGAGGAGGAGGAGGAGAGGGAGGAGGGAGGAGGAGGAGGGAGGAGCAGGGAGGAGGAGGGAGGAGGAGGAGGAGGAGGAGGAGGGAGGAGGAGGAGGTGGGGAGGAGGAGGAGGGGAGGAGGAGGAGGAGGAGGACCAGGAGGAGGAGGAGGAGGACCAGGAGGAGGAGGAGGAGGAGCAGGAGGAGGAACAGGAGCAGGAGCAGAAGGAGCAGGAGGAGCAGGAGGAGGAGGAGGGAGGAGCAGGAAGAGGAGGAGGAGGAGGAGGAGGAGGAGGAGGAGGAGGAGGAGGAGGAGGAGGAGGAGGGAGGAGGAGGGAGGAGCAGGGAGGAGCAGGGAGGAGGAGGAGGCGGAGGAGGAGGAGGAGGAGGAGGAGGAGGAGGAGGAGGAGGAGGAGGGGGGTTGAGGAAGGAGGGACCAAGAGGGAGGAGCAGTGGAGGAGAAACGGAATGATATCATGAGGAGGCGATGAAGACGAACGGGCCAGTGATGCAGGAACCTCTTCTTCCCCAGCCTCCTCCTCTAACTCATCCTCCCTCTCATGGCGCCCAGCAGGCCGACGTCGGCGACCTGCTCAGCCTCTCGCAGGCGGACGTGGTCGTCAACCGCTCCGTGCCGCCCGAGCTCCAGCAGCCTAACGCAAGTGGACACGCCGCAGGTGGAGATGGCAACGCCTTTGAGGATCGCGCTCACGTAACGTCGGAGGCGACGATAGGGGCGAATAGCCCAGGGGCGCCGATGATCTATGTCTTCGAAAAAGGCTCCCGGGCGAATACGTGTAATGCCCGCCCCTGGGCTATTCGCCCCTATCGTTGCCGCCGATAACGGGGTTCAGCGCAAGCGGGACCCAACCAGACAGGGCTCGTTTCGATTCCTCCGATTCGATTTGATTCGATTTCGACGGCGTCCGATTCCGATTCGATTCGACTCGGGCTTTCGATTCGGGTTCTGATTTCTTATTGGACGCATGCTGGCCTGCCGATTTCCGCCGATTCGACGTTTCCCAACTCGGCTGCCGATTGCCGCCGATCCGCTTCATTTCGATCGCCGATCCGACTCATCGATTCGATTCTGGGCTCTCCTGGCCAGAGCGCCCGATCCCGCAGGATCCTGCAAGGCTTAAGTCGGGCCTGTCTCTCTACAGGAGGAATATTCAAAAATAGTTCGGAAATAGTCTGGGGACGATTTGTTTGAGTATTCTTGCGTATTCGTTGAATATCTTTTGACTCTTTTGGATGTTTCGCCCCGCTCCGCCAGTGGGGGGACGGGCCCGACCTAACTCTAGGCTCTCCTGGCCAGAGCGCTGGATCCAGCAGGATCCCGCAAGGCCAGAGTCTGGGGCCGAGCTCGGTTTTTGCGGGAGCCGCTCGCTGCTCTGGGGGGAGTCTTGAGTACGCAGTGGCGGAGCCGAGTGCGGGAAGCCCCCTCCACAGGAAATTCAGGCGGGGACAAAAACACACGCAGGCACTGTGAATCGCCGATTCCCCAGAAGATATGGGAAAACATGGGAAGTGGGGTGGAAGACAAGAACCGAGAGAAAATATATGAGGAAATATGGGGAACCTTGTTATTTGTGCCTATTTGTTTGTGGTGTGTCCCAGGGCCCTTTCAAACATGCAGGGCAGTTTCTCCCTGGGCTGGGCCTCAACGCTGCTTTGCTGGACCTCGGCTGTGTTGTGTTGTTCGTTCTGGGAGGAGTTACAGGAAAACAGGTAGAAGAGCAGAACGAAGCACAGAACGAAGACAAAACGACAAACAGCGTTAAGTAGGTCCAGCCCTGGTTTCGCCAGCGTTGGCTGGGCCAGGTTTTGTCAAGCAGTGGCGAAGCGTCCTGGCTCGCCTATGGGCCCACCAAGGATTGCTCTAAGAACCCTTTGTGTTCTGCACGCCGTGTTCTGAGAACATGTCTGGCCGAGACCGTCCTGCTTTAACACATCGGGCTCTTGTTCTAAGGACATTGTTTTTGTTCATGGATCATTTTTGGGTTCTTAGAACATGTCGTGGTAGGCCCACAGGAATGCCGGGACGGTCGGTCGCTGCTCAAGTTTGCGCCGAGCTGGCGAGCCGGGGGTGCAAGTCCACACCCGAGAGGACCTGGCCTCTGGTGCCGCGGCCGCTGCCGGCTCTGGGGGAGATGCCGCCGCCCCGGGCGAGGATACGCTCGGGAGGCATCTCCAGTGGGTCTCACGCGCCAGGCTCGAAGAAGAAGAAAAAGCGCCATGAACATAAACTGTTGGCGCTCCGCGCGGATTTCTCGGATCCGCGCTGGCCCCCCCCCTGGCGGCGCCGGAGGCGCCGCCCCTAGCGCGCTCCGCGCGCCAGGGGGGGGCCCAGCGCAGCTCCGAGAAATCCGCGCGGAGCCCCAAGAGTTTATGTTCATGGCTCCTCCATTCTTTTTCCTTATAGATAACTTTTCCCTATCGCACCCCGAGGCCAGTTTTTACGGCGGCCGGGCGTTTCGCCTGAGACTTCCTCACCATTCATAGTTCTGAAGTTTCAAAAGTGGCAGCAGCTTCGCAGATGGAAGGCGGGTCAATTTCAAAATGTGGCTCTCGCCGTGGCGCGGCGCACATTCGTTGTAGAAATGTGCAAGAGCTTCACGAATTGAGGGCGGGTCGTTTTCAAAATATAGATCTCGCCTTAGCGCGGCGCACATTCGTTGTAGAAAGGTGCAAGAGTTTCACGGATTGAGGGCGGGTCGTTTTCAAAATGTGGTTCTCGCCTTATCGCGGCGCACATTCGTTTTAAACATTTGCAAGAGTTTCAATGCGAGGGCGGGTCGTTTTCAACATGTGGCTCTCGCCTCAGCGCGGCGCGCATACGTTTTAAACATTGGAAAGGGTTTCATGCATTCCCATCGTCAACGTGCCAGAAATCGTGTTTTGAAAGGATTCAGGATTATGCGGGCGCAACAGTTATGCTGATTCGCTGTGTTGAAGTCCCAGGAATGGCGTTCTGGCACGAATCTGGATTGTCAAGACGCAACAGTCAGGTTGACCCGTGGCGTTGGAATCCCGAGAACAATGTTTTGGCACGATTTAGGTTCTTCAAACGGTTGCCTTCCAAAGAGGCAGTTCCTTCAATGGACCAATGGAAATGAACCGTTGTAGGGGCCTATCAAGAGGGAGCTTGGAGGGAGGGTTTATTCTAGCATCGTTGATGACGCTTGGGTTTACACTGGTCCTCCTCCTCCTCCTCCTCCCTTCTCCTCCTCCTCCTCCCTCCTCCCTCCTCCCCTCCTCCCCCCTCCGTGCAGGCGCGTCGGCGCGGGGACGCAGCTGCACCCCTGCTGGGTGCCCGAGTGGCACCGGCTGCGGGAGCCGCTCGTCGGCGGCTGCTGCGCGTGCCTGGCCCTGGCGGGCGTGCTGTGCTCCGCGGGGGGCATCGGCGGCGGCGGCGTCTACGTGTCCGTGCTAATGGCCGTGGGGGGCCTGCCCATTCCCCCGAGGCGGAGGATCTGTGCGCGACCACCGCCTGGAGGATCAAGTTTCGGGGGCCTCGACGGGCGGTGGATCTGGATCATGACCACCGCCTAGAGGATCCATGTCCGGGGGCCTCGACGGGCGGTGGATATGGACCGCCCGGTGGATCGAGTTTCGGGGGCCTCGACAGGCTGTGGATATGGACATTTTCGGGCCCGCAGGGGCCAAAATATATCCATATCCACCGCCCGCTGGGGCACCAGGACGTCGGTTCCCAGGCGCTGGAGATGGATAAATCCCCGCCTCGCACATCTCGGATGCCGTGCCCCTCTCGAAAGCCAGGGGAACGCACAGTGACATGAAGATAGATAATAACTCGGAGATCCGCGCGGACTTCTCGGACCGGCGCTGGGCACCCCTCTGGCGGCGCCTCCGGCGCCGCCCTTGGCGCGCTCTGCGCGCCAGGGAGAGGGGCCCAGCGCGGATCCGAGAAGTCCGCGTGGACCTCCGAGTTTTTATGTTCATGCCATATGCTCGCTCCCCTCAAAGCGGTCGTGTTCGTCGGAGCGGTCTCGTCCACGCTCCTGAACGTTGCGGCAGGGCCCAGAGGGCAGGCTCGCGGGAGGTGCCTCATAGACTTCGGCGTGTGCCGCATCGTGGTGCCCGCGGCCCTGGCGGGCACGTTCGTGGGCGTGCTTCTGAATGCCGAAGGAGAAAAAAACAGCATATATGCATAAACTTTTGGCGCTCCGCGCGGATTTCTCGGATCGGCGCTGGACCCCCCCTTCCCTGGCGCGCGGAGTGCGCCAGAGGCGGCGCCAGAGGCGCCGCCTGGAGGGGGGCCCAGCGCAGATCCAAGAAATTCGCGCGGAGCGCTGAAAGTTTATGTGTATGCCGTTTTTTCTTCTTCTAGAATGGGCTGCTTCCCGCCTGGGTCATTCACGGTTTGCTCACGGCCGTCCTGGTCGGCATCACGGCCGTCGTGGGGAGGACAACGGTGCGGCAGTACCGGGAGGAGGAGGAGAAGTTGCTGGCGGCCTCGTCCTGCTGGCCAGATGGAAAGACGGCCCTGGTGCAGGGCGAGCTCCGTTTGGACGGCATGTGCGGCGGCGCGGGCACGAAGCGAGACAGAGCCACTCCCACCGATTTTGTCTCCTCCCTGGTGCTGCTCATCATTGTGGTTGCGTCCAGCGTCGTGAGGCATCACGCAGCTCAATGCCGCTCGTCATTGGTTCTGAACGGAGGCGTCGGCGCAATCGATGGTTGCAACCACCCAGCGGTGTCCTGGCTGGGGTCCAGCACTCTTCGGACTTGGATGTCGGATGACGCAACAGCTTATATTTTAAGCAGCTCTGCATCTCTCGTACCTCTTGCCTTGTGTCTGGCTTGCGTCGCAAATTACAGTGGCTCTCTTGTCAGGTACGAAGGGTGGTCCGCAAGGACGGTCTTGAAATACGACGTCATGGCTTTCGTCACAGGCGCTCTTGCTGGCATGGTTGGCATCGGCGGGGGCCTGATCTTTTCGCCGTTCTTCATCACGATGGGCATGGACCCCTCCACGGCGGTGGCAACGTCCACGACGTGCGTACTCTTCACCTCCTCCTCGACCACGCTGCAGTACCTGCTGACGGACCGCATCATCGTGTCGCTGACGGTGGTACTCGAAGAAGACAAAAACGGCAGAATACATTCCGAGGCCCGTGCGGATTTCGTGGATCGGCGCTGGAAAGCCCCCTCCCTGGCGCGCGGAGCGCGCGAGGGCCGGCGCCTCCGGCGCCGCCGGGGGGGGGCTGTCCAGCGAACGCGGACCCAAGAGATCCGTGCAGGACCCCGAGAGCTCGTGCGCATGCCTCTTGGCATCGCTCGGCGGACGTGCACGTTTTTCTTCGGCGAGGCCAGCGCCAGAGAGAGTCACCGCGAGCACCCCTGGGGAGCCTCTCGGGCCACCGCGAGAAGCATGGAGAAAAGACGCACGAAGCCGAACGGTGCGCACGCGGGATGGGCGCCCGAGCCCGAGCGACGGCAGAGGGCCTCTGCTCCTCCTCCGGGGTTCGAGGGTTTTTCGCGGTTCGGTCGGTTCGGGCGGTTCGGTTCGGTCAGTCATCGTGCCGTTGCCGCGTCGCTGCGCCCCTCTCCCGAAGACGAAAAAGCCACATGAACAGAAACTTTTGGCGCTCCGCGCGGATTTCTTGGATCCGCGCTGAGCCCCCCCGGCGGCGCCTCCAGCGCCGCCCCTGGCGCGCTCCGCGCGCCAGGGAAGGGGGTCCAGCGCGGATCCAAGAAATCCGCGCAGAGCGCCAAAAGTTTATGTGTATGGCGTTTTTTCTTCTTCTACTCTCGGCGGCTTGCGGCCTGTTGATGTCGGCGGCTTCGGCTTCGCCGTCGCTTCGGACCGTTTTCGCTTCTGCTGCCGCCCGTGCACGGCCTCGAGGTCTACGGCCTGGTGAGCATGGCCGCCTCGCGCGCGGGAACGAGGTGCGTTCGGCAGCAAATCATGGGAGCCTTTTTGTGTAATATCGCGATGCCGTCTTTATAGAGTGCGCTTGCGGCGTCGATTAGCATCTGGCAGGCGATGAGATAGAGCCGACTTGGAGCGTCGACTGGCGTCGACCTCGCAAGAGCCAACAAGATGGCATGGGAGGCTCCCGCGTGATGGGCCGATATTCCACCACCACTACCACAGGTAGGAGAGGGAGTAGGAAGAGGAGGATGAGGATGATGATGAGGATGATGATGAGGATGATGATGATGAGGAGGAGGAGGAGGAGGAGAAGGCGGAGGCGGAGGCGGAGGCAGAAGAGGCGGAGGCGAGAGGAGGCAAAGGCGGGAGGAGGAGGAGAAGAAAGAGGAGGAGGCGGAGGACCTCTCCATCCTCCCTTCCCCCCCGTCCCACATATGCTAGCGGTGGTGGAAACTTGGCCCATCACCACGAGCTGCCACCGAAAGGTGCGTCCACGCCCTGCAGGAGCGGCACGCGGCGCGCGGGTCCTACGTCTCCCTGATCGTGGCCGCGGGCGTCCTCGTGAGCGCCGTGCTCGCCGCCGCGAAGCTGGCGGAGGGCCTGCTGCACCCGCAGGAGGGGCCTCGGGAGGGGAGGAGGGAGGAGGGAGGAGGACAGGGAGGGGAAGGAGGGAGGAGGGCGGAGGACAGGGAGGAAAAGGAGGAGGAGGAAGAGGACAAGGAGGAAAAGGAGGAGGAGGCGGAGGGAGGGAGGGAGGGAGGAGGAGCATCGATGATCGAGGATCGTTTCCCAGCATTTCCTCCTCCTCTTCCTCCTTCTCCTCCCTCCGCCTTCTCCTCCTCCTCCTCCTCCGCCTCCTCCTCCTCAACCGCTTCCTCCTCATTCTCCTCCTCGTCATCATCGTCGTCATCATCATCAACATCAGCAGCATCATCATGATCATTATCATCATCTTCTTCTTCTTCATCATAATCATCATTGGCAGCATCATCAGCGCATCACCACCATCATCACCATTATCATCATAATCCTTAGTAGTATTCGTCTGATTGTTTAGGTAATACGATCATTACCACTAATAGTGCCACTATTACTAATTTTACGAATGCTAGTAGTACGGTCAATCTTGATGTGTTTGAATACTACTAGTAGTATGATTAGTTGTAGTATGTGTATTCGTATTTGCAACTTAATAATAGTGATACTATCAGTCGTGGCGATAGTATGAGTAATATCAATAATAATGATGATCATGTTAATCATTGTTCGTAGTATTACCCGTTTACTATCAGTATCAATCGATTTATCCATATTTGTACCATTTTCCGTAATGGTTTCGCCCCCCGCAGCCGGACCTTCTCTATTAGAATGGGATATATCAGAGTCGCGTCGGTGCGTCTCGGCGCTGCCTTGGCGCATCTGGGAACATCATGCGGGGGCGGATCGTAATCATCAGCGCACATTGAGACGTTGGCGTTATCGAAGACGCCTACGGCGCGTCACCGCCGCTCCCTTCCTTCTGGAATCGCCCATGTGGCCGAGCGTTGTGGCAAGAGCTCTGCCAAGCTATCGGGCCATGTGCTCCCCCCAGCCTTTGAGAAATCCTTTGGGGAATACTCGGGGGAGGATGGCGGGGAAGATCACGAGGAGGAGGAGGAGGAGGAGGAGGAGGAGGAGGAGGCCTCGGAGGAGGAGGCGGACGGACGAGGAAGAGGAGGAGGAGGACAAGGAAGAGATGGATGAGGAGGCCTCTTGGGAGCCTCTTAGGCACTCTCGGGGCCTCCTGGGAGCTTTTCGGGGTCCTTTTAGACGCCTCTTGAGGGCCTCATCCGTTTGGGGCTACTTGGAGGCCTCTTGGGCCGTCTTAGGGCGTTCCTCGCCCGTCTAACGCCGTCGGAAGCCGTCTTAGGGGCCTCTCTGGGCCATTTTGGGACCCTCTTGGAACGCCTCAGGGATGTCTTGGAGGCCATCTCGGGCGTCTTGGACGCCTTGTGGGTCGTCGTAGAGCCCTCTGGGGGCCGTCTCTTGGGCCGTCATGGAGCCGTCTTGGAAGCTTGAAGGGCCATCTTGAGACTGTCTCGGGGCCTCTCGGACCGTCTGGGGCCGTCTGAAAGCAGAGAAGAAGCAAATGCCAAAAAACCTTGAAAAACCTCAGGACAATCAATGAATATTGCCTCTTCTGGCCCTCCTGGAGGACCTCAGGGATGCCTCTGGGGCTGTCTTGTAGGCCTCTGGGGGGCCTCTTGGGCCGTCTTGGCCTATCTTGGAAGTTTTTTGGGGCGCACTTGGAGGCATGTTGGACCATCTTCGGCCTTCTTGGCGGCCATCTTGGACCTCCTTGGGCGAACTTGGAAGCCATCTTGCCCTCTTTGAGGCCAGATGGAGCCGTCTTGGAGGATTTGTTCCGGATGTTGAGGTCGTTTGTGCGGCTTTTGTGGTCGTCTATGGTCCTTTCTGCGGGGCTGGCGGGACGGGCCGGAGCCCCAGGGGAGAGTTATTTTGGAAAAAGAACCAACGCCGAACGGCCCCCCTGTGATATATCCTCAGTGGGCGGCGGATCGAAGACGCCTACGGCGAATCACCGCCGCCCCCTGCCCCTTTGGAAGCGCCTCTGTGGCCGACAGCTGGGCCAGAGCTTGGCCAAGCTATCGGGCCAGTTGTTCCCCGAGTCGGTTTGGAAGACTTCTAGGAACGCGTGGAGGAGCAAGAAGAGGAGGAGGGGGAGGAGGAGGAAAAAAGAGGATGAGGAGGAGGAGGAGGAGGAGGAGGAGGAGGAGGCCTCTTGGGCGCCTCTTTGGGCACTCTCGGGGCCTCCTGGGAGCTTCCTGGGGGCCTCTTGGAAGGTTTTTGGGGGCCTTTGGGGGCTTCTTGGGGGCCTCTTTGGCAGTCTTAGGGCGTTCCTGGCTTGTCTGACGCCGTCGGAAGCCGTCTTGGGGGCCTGGTTGGGTCATCTTGGAGCCTTCATAGGGCAGATCAGGGGTTCTTAGACGCCATCTTGGGCGTCTTGGAGGCCTCTTGGGCCGTCTTGGGACCCTCTTGGGGCCGTCTTGGGGGCCTCTTGTGCCGTCATGGGGCCATCTTGGAGGCCTCGTGGGCGATCTTGGAGCAATCTTGGGGGCCTCTTGAGCCGTCGGAATGCCGAGAAGAAACAAATGCCAAACTCCTTCAAAAGCCAAAGGAAAATGAATGATTCCGGCCTCTTCGGACCCTCCTGGAGGACTTTTTGGAGGTCTTTTCGGCCATCTTAGAGGCCTCGTGGGAGCCTCTTGGGCTGTCTTGGGCCATCTTGAGGCCATCTTAGGCCGTGTTGGATGAACCTTCGGCAGTCTTGGAGGCACCTTGGGGCCATCGTAGCCGTCTTGGAGGCCACCTCGGTCGTCTTGGAGGCCTCTTGGGGCCGTCTTGGGGCCGTCTTGGGGGTCTCTTGGACCGTGATGGGGCCATCTTGGAGGCCTCGTGGGCGATCTTAGGGCGATCTTGGGGGCCTCTTGGGCCGTCTTGAGCCGTCGGAAGGCCGAAAAGAAGCAAATGCCCAAGTCTTTCAAAACCCTAAGGAAAATCAATGATTTTGGCCTCTTCGGGCCCTCCTTGAGGACCTCCGTCCTTGAGGACCTCTTGGAGGCCTCTTGGGTCGTCTTGGGCCGTCTTGGAGGCTTCTTGGGCGAACTTGGAGGTATCTTGGACTCTCTTGGGCCGTCTTGGAGGCTGTCTTGGATCATCTTGGGCAGACTTGGAGGCCATCTCAGGGCCATCTTGGGCCAACGTGGCCATCTTGGAGGCCATCTTGAGCCGTCTTGGAGGAAAAATTGGGGATTGAGCTCCCTTCCGGGACCCTGGCGGGACGGGCCGAAGCCCCAGGGGGAGTTCTTTTGGAAAAAGAACCAGAACCAAAACCGAAAGGATCTAGCACGCCAGGCACCCTTGTGATGAATCGACAGGGGGCGGCGGATCGAAGACGCCTACGGCGAATCACCGCCGCCCCCTGCCTTTTTGGAAGCGCCTATGTGGCCGAACGTTGAGGCCAGACCTGCCAAGCTATCGGACCATGTGTTCCCCGAATCGGTTTGGAAAGCCTTCGGGGAACACGTGGGCATCTTCAAGGTCATCTTGGCTGTCTGGAGGCCATTTTGACACTTTCAGGCCTTCTTGGAGGACGTCTTGGAGGGCTCTTGGGCAGTCTTGGAGGCCATCTTGAGCGTCTTGCAGGCCTCTTGGGCCGTCTTGGGGGCCTCTTGCGGCCGTCTTGGGCCTCTTGGGCGATCTTTGGAGGCACGTGGGCCGTCTCGGGCCGTCGGAAGGCCGAAAAAAAGCAAATGCATCAATCCTTCAACAACTCATGGGAAATCGATGACTTTGGCCTTTTCGGGCCTTCCTGGACGCCCTCTTGGAGGCCTTTGCGGCCGTCTTGGGCCATCTTAGGCCCATCTTCGGCCGTTTTGGTGGGCTCCTGGCCCGTCCGACGCCGTCGGAAGCTGTTTGCGGGGCCTCTTTGGGCCGACTTGGGGCCCTCTTGGAATGCTCCAAGGCCGTCTTGGAGGCCACCTTGGGCGTCTTAAAAGCCTCCTGGGCCGTCTTGGGGGCCTCTTGGGGCCGTCTTGGGGGCCTCTTGGGCCGTTCTGGGGCCATCTTGGGAGGCCTCTTGGGCGATCTTTGGGTGCTCTTGGGCCGTCTCAGGCCGTCGGAAGGCCGCAAAGAAGCAACTATCAACATCCTTGAAAACCTAAGGACAATCAGTGTTTTGGGTCTTTTCTGGCCTTCCTGGAGGCCCTCTTGGAGGCCTCTTGGGCCGTCTTGGGCCAGCTTCGAGCCAACTTCGGCCATCTTTGTGGGCTGCTGGCCCGTCTGACGCCGTCGGAAGCCGTTTTGGGGGCCTCTCTGGGCCGACTTGGGGCCCTCTTGGGGTGCTCCAGGGCCGTCTTAGAGGCCATCTTGGGCGTCTTGGAGGCCTCTTGGGTCGTCTTCGTGCTTTCTTGGGGCCGTCTTGCGGGCCTCTTGGGCAGTCCTGAGGCCATCTTGGAGGCCTCTTGGTCGCTGTGGGGGCCATCTTGGGGGCCTTTTGGGTCGTCTTGGGTCGTCGGAAAGCCGAAAAGGAGCAAATACGAAAAACCTTTAAACACCTAAGGAAAATCAATGATTTTAGCCTCTTCGGGCCCTCCTGGAGGACCTCTCGGAGGCCTCTTGGGCCGTCTTGGAGGCCTCTTGGGCACCTCTTGAGCCGTCTTGTGCCGTCTTGGAGGTTTCTTGGGCGGACTTGGAGGCATCTCCTCCTTTCCTGGGCCGTCTTGGAGGCCATCTTGGGCGAACTTGGGGGCCATCTTGTGCCAACGTGGCCATCTTGGAGGCCATCTTGGAGGATTTTTTCCAGACTGAGGTCCTTGGCAATCTTTCCGGGTGGCCGGCGGGACGGGCCGAAGCCCCAGGGGGAGTTCTTTTGGACAAAGAACCAAAACCAAACCCGAGAGGGTTCAGCACGCCAGGCACCCCTGCGATGAATCGACGGGGGGCGGCGGATCGTAGTGGCTTTCGGCCCATCATCCCGCCACCGTGCCTGACTTGTGGGTCTGAGGCCTCCTGAATATGTGTTGCGGTGTCGTGGGAGCCCCAGAGGGCCTCTTGGAGGCGGTTTAGGCGCCTCTTGGGAGTAATTTGCGAGGGATCGTGGCTTCGGGGACGCAAAGATTCCGTAATCCACAAGGGATCGTGGCTTCGTGTGCGCGAATGTTGTGTTATGTACGAGGGCTTATGCTTTCGACGACGAACAGATGGCCTAACTTACGAGACGGGGGCGCGAATATCGTGTGATTTAAACAGAGTCTGTGGCTTCGGGACGTGAGTATTGCGTAAGTTACCACTATTATGGCCTCGGGGACGTGTGCATTGTATATTTTATGAAGGTTTGTGGCCTCGGGGACGCGAGTATTGCGTAATGTACAAGGATGATGGCCTCGATGACGCGAATATTGTACAATTTACAAGGGTTCGTGGCCTTGGGGACGCGAATATTGAACAATTTACTAAGGCTTCGGGGACGCGGCTATTGAGTCATCTACGAAGGTATATGGCTTCGGGAACGCGAATACGGCGTATTTTGTTAGGGTTTATGGCATCGGGACGCGATTCTCATATATTTTTACGTGCCCCGCTAAGCAAGCTGTTTTTCGGTTCCCCCCCCCCCTCGCGCGGACCTCCACAATTTACAATAGAGAGCAGAACGTAGAACTATCACAATGGACACTGGAACTGGAGCAGGGAGCGGCAAGCTTAATCCTCGCCGCCTGATGGCCCCGCAAGGGGGCCGGCAGATCATTATCATCATCATCATCATCATCATCATCATCATCACCATCATCACCATCATCATCATCATCATCATCATCATCATCATCATCATCATTAGCAGCAACATCACCATCATCATCATCATCATCACCATCATCATCATCATCATCACCATCATCATCATTAGCAGCAACATCACCATCACCATCACCATCATCATCATCACCACCACCACGACCATCATCATCATCACCTCATCATCATCATCATCGTCGTTGTTGTTCTCAATTCCTTTCCTTTGTAGATACACATATCCCTGTCTCACCCCGAGGCCGGTCGAAAGGGCAGGCCGGGCATTTCGCTTGAGACATCTTCACCATTCATGATTGCGAAGCTGAGAATTTACAGCAGCTTCACGGATGGAGGGCGGGCCGTTTCCAAAATGTGGTTCTCGCTTGAGCGCCGCGTGCATCCGTTTCAACATATGCAAGAGCTTCACGGATAGATGCGGGCCGTTTTCAAAACGTGGTTCTCTCCGCAGCGCCACGCACATTTGTTTTAAACATGTTGCAAGAGTTTCGCGGATGGAGTGCTGGCCGTTTTCAACATGTGGTTCTTGCTTCAGCGCCGCGCACACTCGTTTTAAACATTTGCAAGAGCTTCACGAATGGAGGGAGTTTCGTTTTCAACATGTGGTTCTCGCCTTGGCGCCGCGCATATTCGTTTTAAACATTTGTAGGAGTGTCACGGATGGAGGGCGGCTCCTTTGCAAAAGGTGGTTCTCGCTTCAGCGCCGTGCTCATTCGCTGTAGGATTTTACAGCAGTTTCAAGGACTGTTCATCGCTAGCGTCTCCAAAGTGGTGTTTTGGAAGGATGTCAGGGCGCAGCAGTTATTCTGATTCGTGGTGTTGCCGTCCCAGGAACGGCGTTCTGGCACAATTCAGGATCGTCAAGACGTCACAGTAACGGTGATTCGCGGCGTTGCAGTCCCGGGAGCGGTGTTCTTGCACAGTTCAGGAGTTTCAAACGTTTGCTTTCCAGCGGGGCATTTCTTTCCGTGACAGTGCGTTTTTGATGGGGTCTATGAAGAAGGAGTTTGGATGGAGGGTTATTATTGCAATATCGAAGATGGGTCTTGGGTTTCCTCCTCCTCCGCCTCTTCATCCTCCTTAGCTTGCTCCTCCTCCTTCGCCTCCTCCTCCTTCTCCTCATTCGCTTCCTCCTCCTCCTACTCCTTCGCCTTCTCCTCCTCCTCCTCCTCCTCCTCTTCCTCCTCCTCCTCCTCCTCCTCTCTCCTCTCCCCTATCTCCTCTCTTCTCCTCCTTCCCCCCTCGCTCCTGAGGCTTCTCCCGACCGCTGCGCGAGGCGCCACCGCGCTCCTCGGGGCTGCCACCGAGGATCGAGTGCCTCGGACCTCCACTCTGGGGAAGAAGCCTGCAGGATTGAGGCCGCACCTCCGCCCTGAAGGTTCTTGATCCTCTGGGACCAGCCATCGCGTGCCGCCTCTCTCGAGCACCCGCCTGGCGCCCTTGCCCCCTTCCTGCTGCTGCTGCTGCTGCTGCTGCTCCTGCTCCTGCTCCTGCTCCTCCTCCTCCTCCTCCTCCTCCTCTCCTCCTCCTCCTCCTCCTCCTCCTCCTCCTCCTCCTCTTCCTCCCCCTCAGCCTCCTCCTCCTCCTCCTCCTCCCTCCTCCTCCTCCTCCTGCTCCTCCTGCAACTCACATCACCTCTCCTCTTCTCTCCTCCACTTCCCTCCTCCCCCCCCTCACCCTCCTCCTCCTCCTCCTCCTCCTCCTCCTCCTCCTCCTCCTCCTCCTCCTCCTGCAACTCACATCACCTCTCCTCCTCCCTCCTCCACTTCCTCCTCCCCCTCCTCCTCCTCCTCCTATTGCTAAGGCCTTGCGGCCGGTGCCGCCGACCCTGAAGACGACGACGACGAATACGAGGAGGAGAAGGAGGAGGAGGAGGAACAGGAAGGGGATTAAGGTGGAAGGGAGCAGGAGAAGGCGAAGAAGATGTTCCCCATGTGGGCCGAAGGAGTCGTTGCAGAGACAGACAGGGAGCCTGGTGGCCTGCAGCCCTTCCCGCCACCGTGCTGGGGTTGTGGTTGAAAGGCCTCTTGGATGTTTTCGGGCCTGTTGGGGCCTCTGTTGGGCCTCTTGGGGGTCTCTTGGGGGCCTCTTCGGGCCCCTTGAGCGGCTCTTGGGGCCTTCCGGGGGCTTCTGAGGGAGGGAAGCCCGAAATGTCGGTTCGTGGTTCTCTTCTTGGGCCTGCTTGGGGCCCTCTTGCGGCATTCTTGGGCTGTTTTGAGGTTATCTTGGGCCGTCTTGGGGCCCTCTTGGGCTGCCTCGGGGCCTTTTGGGGGGCACTCTTGGACCTTCTTGGGGGCCTCTGAGGGCACTCTTGGCGCGTGTTGGCGTTTTTGTTTGGCTCCGGGACGCCCAGGGGCGGATGCGTATCTGACCCCCCCCTCTGGGACCCCTCCGGGACCCCCCCGGGACCCCCCCCGGGACCACCCCTGGACCCCCTTCTGCGGGGGAGGGATCAAAGGGAAGGGGTTTCCCTTCGACTTCGGTACGACGTTGCTACGGTTTTCTCTCGCCGTAGCCATTTTGGCTCAAGCTGCCCAAGCGGCCAAAGCGGCCCGCCGGCTCCCTCTGGGAGCGCGCGAGCCCTCGGCGGGCCATGCCGCGCCGCGCCGCCATGTCCGGCCCGGGCTATGGGTTGATATTCATGCTGCTGAGCTGCTTGTTGCCCCTCGTCAGCGGTCAGCACCTCGTGAGCGTCGACAACCAGGCCATAGTTTTCATGCTCACTAATACCATTACAGAATTTATGCAACAGTGGTGCCTATGGGGGGTGCCGCTGGTATGGGGCATGTCGTTAATTCTCTTCCTCACCTGCCTTGGGCTCGTGCGCAGGTTCTGGGGAGGCGATCCGGTACATCGTACTGCTTCGCGAAGTTTTGACACTTCTCATTTGCGCATCGCTTTCAGAGTGCCAGCTGGCATCGTCGTCAATGCCTGGCGCTGTGGGTGAAATCGCATACGTGATGCACGCCGCCAGCGTGTTCGCGACCGACGCCGACGGCGTCTTCATCACTGTCTTCATCTGGGTGCTGTTCTCCTGCATCCTTGTCGACACCTTTTGCGGTGACTGCGGCGTCTGGTACGCAGAGGCCTTCAACTTGGCGCAGTCCTTCTCTGGCCAGGTTGTCTTCTACTGCGGCTACTTCGGCCTTGTGCACGGGGTGGCCTTCACCTGGGAGCTGAGCTTCTGCATCCAGGCCGACTCCTGTCAAGGACCGGTATGGTCTGCTTCGCGCGATGCGAGATGCGGTTCGCCATGTTGGGCGACATCTTCAACGGGTATTGTTTCACGCGGTACATGGTGGCCTTCACCTGGGAGCCGCGCTTCTTCTTCCTCCCGTCCGACTCCTGGTGTCCCAGCTGCGGCGTGCTGCATGGGGCGGACAGCCAGCTGGTGTATTGGGTTCACACCTATGTGGTGGTGGTGGTGGTAAAGATGCCCGTGCACGCCGAGCGCAAGAGCATGCGCTACTGGCTGGCCTGCAGGACCTCCTTTCGAAGTTTGCTGGTTCCACGGCTGCTGGACAATCCCCCACACCGGCAGGGACGTCGCATCAAGGACATCGCGCTTCCAAGTCCCGCCGCCGGAAGGCTCAGCGGCAGGCGAAATCGGCTGAAGGTTTGCTGGGGGCACCGCAGCGCGTTGTCGACCGGACCGAGAAAGCAGATTCGGTACAAACATTCCTCCCGAAGTTGCAGCGGTCGATCGAAGCTGCAGCGAGTGGCAAACTTGATCGGAACCTTGGGAAGGTTCAATCTAAACCCACGGCCTCCGCTCCGGCTGCGGCTACAAATGCTAAGGCGAAGACCAAACTTAAGCCCGAGAAGGCCCCCGCTGAGCAGGCCGAGAACCTCCTGGGCAGCGCTGCGGCTGAGCCTGGCCGGTCCGGCCCCAGGGGGCAGCTCGGCGCAACCTTATTGCGTCGAGAGCGTTGGCGCGGGACTCTCGCCTCTGACAGTGGCGGTTCTATTTGTCAGATTCAGCGTGACCAGAATCTCGTCGTTGGAGTGTGCTCTCCAAAGTCCTCGATGGCCTGACTGGATTCGAGTTGCCTGCGGGTGCTACTATCTCACTGCCGGATGCTGTTCCAGTGCGCGCTCCAGCTTTGGACTCGAAAGGTTCTCCCAAAGTAACCGCATTTTACCTTCGACAGTTTGGAAAGCAGGTGCCTGCTTTGAAGTGGGCTGCTCAAGCTGGGCAGCCCCTCCCAGCAACATCCCCAACTCGGGCGGTGCGCATCGCTTCCTTTAAGAAAACGGTGAACGAGCAGGAGTGGGAAACGCGTTCCTGCAATCTGAAAGTGGCGGCTAAGCTTTGGTTGGGTTCTCATCGCATCCCTCCCCCAGCTATTGCTAACATCTTTGGAGCCAAGATCTCTGAAGATGGAACCATTGTTTCTGTCAACGTTCGCATCCTTGCAACACATGCTTCTGCTGCTATTGAATGCGGGGCTTGCAGCAAACGGGGCGTTAGCGCGTTCGTCGCCAGAAGATCCCAAAGCTTTGCCGACGCATGGGAACGCCCAGCGGTTACGTCGGCAGGACAACGAGAGGCATCGAGTTTACGCAGCAGGCGCGTCCGCTCGTTGAAGAAGCTAACCCATGCCGTGGTCTTGCTTTTTCTAGCTCTGGTTCTGTGGGCTCGCGGAAGCCCAGAGGCCAACGGGCGACTTCATGGCGTGCTTCTGGGTTGCCCGATCTTTGACAATACCGCAGGTTGCGGACTGGATTAAAGCTAACGGTTGGCCTGAAATCGATTTGTCCTCGGTCCGAAGGCGAACCGCGAATTCATGCACAAGCTTTTTTTTTCGCGACATCAGCCCAGGGGGTGCGAATCTGGCAACTACAGTCGAGACAGCGGCCGTAGGCGGCAAGACGATCTTCATCGAGTTCGAGCCTTGCCGGCCGCAGTCCAAGCCCCCTGTCCTCAGGAATCTCCGCAATGGGGATCTACATGTTGACGTCCCCGCCAAAGACGACGGGAAGTCCGCGAAGGTTGCCGCCTCGGACCTGGCAACCAAGCCTAGCACCGCTGCCAAGCGGCAGCGACCAATGCTGCTCCTCCAGCTGGTGGTGGAGCTGGTGAAGACCTATAGGACGAGGTGGTCCCCGAACTAGGCCTCACCGTCCAAGATGTTCCCCAAGATGGTGATTGCGCTTTTCATGCGATTGGAGCGTGGTTTCAGCGTGCCGGGAGATCTACATCATGCGCTGGTGCTCTTCGCGCTCAGACTGTGGCGCACATGGAGAAGAGCGGCAGGCCGATAAAACGTTTATGGAGCCGCCTGACTCCAACAGGTACGGCATGCTCATCTTGGGCAGAGTATCTACGGTTGATGAAAGATCAAGCAGCTTACGCGGGAGAGCTGGAGCTTCTCGCTGCTGCGTACAAGTGGAAGCTGACAGTTGTAGTCATCAGGCCGGGCGATCCTACGGTTGCAATCGGGACTTGAAGATCTGCCGCCTTGTTGTTATTTCGCAATGCTGATTGCGAACCTCTTCCTCCTGGTTCCGATCCTGCCCACTCCACGGCTCGAAAGGCCCACTTGGAAGCGGTCAAAGATTGCTTCGAGCTGAAGGTGCACCAGGTGGCCGACCCCCTGGCGTGGAAGCTCAAGGGAGGCGGCGTGGCCGCCAGACCTGTTCGCGCTACGTCGTCGGCTCGAGGTGCGCGAAGTGTATCTGCGCGCCGGCAGTGCTCCACCAGCTACGTCGCGGGCCCCATCGGTGGCCATTTTGCAGGCGCGTCGGGGAGCTATTCCTCCAGCTACTCTCCGGGCACCTTCTTCTGCGGTCTCTTCGGCCCCAACGGCGCGAACAGCGACGCGGCGACCGCCGACTCCATTATCCAGGAAAGAGGCCGTGGCTTATGCCAAGCACTGCGTGTGTCTGAACACTGACGCCTTCGTTGCCACGGGTGGATCCGCCTCGAAATCCCAGACGACCATCCGACGGGGCCCTCCGGGCCAACTTATCTTGCCAAGGCCTGCCAGGAAACGCCCAGCCCCGGCGACCTCCGGACAGGGGCCGTGGATCCCCGGCATCTACAGCTCGGCCTCCAAGGACCTTGCCAGCGAGTATCGTGCCGCGGCTGCGACTGCGCCGTGGCTGCGTGCCCCCGTCCTCACGGAGACCGGGGTCCATTGTGCCAAATGCCCGCGTTCTTGGACTGCGACGGCTGCGCGTTCGCATCCATCTCGATTCCACGATAACCTTTGCGCGAGTTGCGCGGGCCCGCCTAGTGCTGCTGAGCGTCGCGACCGACTGCGCGAGCAACAGCTGCAGCGATCGCGGACGCAGAGACGGGGGCAGGCTCAGGCGTCGCTCCATTTCGCCTCGCTCACGGTCCCCCCTGGGAAATTTGATTATGGGAGGTGCCCGCTGTGTCCATTTGCGCCGCCGAAGGCTACGCGCCCCCCCGAGTACGTCGCGCGACGACATATTCTAGCGCATGGCGATGAGGGCTGGGCCTTGCTTCAGCGAGAGAGGCGTTCCGCGCGCAACAGAGCTCTCCTGCGGACCATCACGCAGGGCGCCCTCTTAGAGAAGCGCCCGCAAACCGGGCGCGCTGACGCCGACGCCAGACGCCAGGCCATCAACGATGCCTCGCCAGGTTGGGCCTGCCGGCCGGAGAAGAAGTCTTCGAAGCCCTCGTTGTGCGAGCTCGGCCGGTGTGGATGCCAGCGTGGACGTTTTCAGGTTGCTATTTTAGGTTGCGCCGTTGGCGGCGCGCCTGGCAAGAAGGGCGACGTTTTCACCGTGCCGTGCGCCGCGGCTGGCCCTTCGAAGCTGCGCTCGCGCTGTCTGCTGACGAGCGCCAGACTCCCCCGGAAGATGCCGTTGTCTTGGCTTCGGCACAGGACGGGGGGCGTCGCCTGCAGCGCGCGCGCATGGGAGGCGCTTTGAGAGCACGTGCCCGGCGCAACCGGCGCCAGCTACTGTGATCTCATGGTCAAGGATGCCTTGAAGCTGCCGACGCTGAACATCGACAGCTACGCGAAGCACCGCGCCGTCCTTCTGGCGCTCTCGGCGGATCATCTGCCTCGCGCCTGCTGCCTCCAGGAGTGCTCTTTGACCAGTGGCCAGCAGCGCACCCTGCGACGAGACTTACAACCTTTGGGATGCTACGCCATTGCGGTCACGAAGGGTTTGTGCACCATCGCGCGAGGCGGGTGCAACGTAGTCCCATTGCCTTATGATCGCGATTTTTCGCGTGCAGCGTCTGGAATTACAGCCGGGGGAGCACCGGGCACTGGCGCGCCGTCGTCGCGCCCACTCCGGCAGCGCACCTGAGAGGCGCCGCTTCGACGAAGGTTTGCGCGCCGAACGTGGGGTACTTACATTGGACATCGGAGACTTCAACGAGCACCCTGCCCCCATGAATGGGGATAGCTTCGCCGTCGCATTCCCAGATTGTCCCGCTTTTCGCCCGGACTCGGCGACAGATGCGTAGTCTACCACCATCGACGGCGCCGCTATCTCCACCGCGTTGGCTGGGTCTGCTAGCGACCGGGGCCCAGCGCCCCTACCGGGCGTTCAACGCCGACCAATACTGGTTGAAGTTGGTTTGCGCCCAGCTTTTCACGACGCCCTCCGATGGAATGTTGCCAGCGTTTTCCATTTGGGCGCCTGGGCGCCCGAGCAGAAGACTACGTTCACTTCCGCTTTTATTCGGGGCTCCACATACGGGGTGGTAACCACGCCGTGCGGTGAGTCGGTAGGGATTCGGGGTCACCGCGCGGTTTTGGGGCTCGGGTCGTTCTCCGAGGACGTCTCGGGCGACGGGGGCCTCCGGGGTCCCGAGACCGTGCGGTGACGGACCGCGCGGCGAGGTCTTGGGTGATTTCGAGGTCGCCGCGCGGTCTGTCACCGCGCCGCTTCTGGAGACTCCGAATTTACGACGGACATCAATTTGGCATGGAAGGCGTGGCAAGATGCTGCTGGCGCCCCCGAGGCCCACAGCTTGAGACAAGCTTCTGGTGGTAGCTGGGCGGCTGACCCCCGCGCTCGCGAGGTTGCTTTGTTGTGGAAGACGTTTCGTCGTCAGCGCCACGATCTGCGTTGCGATGCGGCGGAGGAGACGCTCGGCCTCATCGCATCGCTCATTGATGAGGCGAACTCCGCGCGCCTACAGACCTGGAAGGACAGCATCGCCACCAGGGGCGGCGCCGCCCGCTGGGTCAAGACGAGGGTTGCGAGTCTACGGGGCGCTGTTCTTCCGCGTTTCGGTGCAGTTGTTTTCTCCCCTTGGGAGCTTGCGCGACAGCTCGGCGCCGGACTTGCAACGCGATGGAATGCAGGCCTCTATCAGGTATCTCATCTTCCTGGTTCCCAGACTTATTTTGCGCGCTGCCCCATGGACCAGTCGCTCCTCATCGAGAAGCGGGGCCAGCCGCCGCCGTTGCGACGCCAACAACTTGATATCAGTGTTCTCCCTGCTGTACCTGCTTATGAGGCCCCTGGCAGATGGGCGCCCGAGCACATCTTGGAATTTTGGCCAGCAGGCGCGACCGGGATCGATGGGCATCACGTACAATGGGTTGATCATCTTCATCTTGATTCTCTCGTGCGGCTTACCGAACTGTTGGGTGCTGCTGATGGTGGTCGTCTGCCTCAGTTTTAGTCTCACGCAAGAGTCACCGTGATTTCCAGAGGGCCGGACTCTCCGACAGATGAGCGCCGGCCGTTGACAGTGCTGCCAATTACCTATCGCCTCTGGGCTCGCCGGTACGCTTCGTCGCTGACCTAGTGGCCGATGACGTGGACGCCCGCTGGCTTGACCGGCGCCGCGCCGAACCACAGCTGCCTGGACGTACTCTGGGAGGTCCAAGCCCTCATTGCGCAAGCTCGACTGGGTGACGATGCTCCGTAGTACTTACTATCGATGGAATTTGAGATGTTTTGATAGACTCGATCTTGAACATATTGTCCGGCATCTTCGCCTTCCTGTGTGTCCGTGCGCTTCGTGCAACTACAAGAAACTGACCCGACTCCTCTTTGGGACAACCAACCCACCGACGTGCGGTTACAGGGCGATCATCTGGATGGAGTGCCGCAGGGTTACCCGCTGGCTTGCTTCTTTTGCAACCTTATTTCGGCTGTCTGGCACATGCATGTGGCGCGCGCCGTGCCCAGTGCTTTGCGTTATTCTCATCTGGGCGACAGGCTAGTCTTGGCGCGGTCCTGGGACGACTTGGAGGCGCGCTTGACGGCGGCGCAGCTTGTGGACCTCGCCATTGGGCCGACGCTCAACTTGGGGAAGTGCGCCCGCGGAGCTGTGGTTCCCAAGGGGCGCCGCGTGCCACCGTGCAGCGATCCTGGGTTGGGGCAAGTTGAATATCGCAAATCCTTTCGGCATTGGGGCATGGACCTTGTTATGGGGCATGCTGCCCGCCCTCCTGTTGCAGTGCGTCGTGTTGCTGATTATCGTATCCGGCTCGATGCTGTCCGTTTTCTTCCTTATTGGCAACGCGGCGTTGGTGTCGCCGATGCAACCGCTGCTTCGTGGACCGAGGGGGGGTTCGCCAACGCCAGGGGGCAGTTCACCTCCGCTGTGTCCGCCGCTGCTGCTGCTCTGATGGGCTCTGGCCGCCCCGGGGCGCTTGTTCGGAGGTCGAGACCAATGACACATTTACTTGGGCCAGGGTTACATCGTACCTACCTACCTTGTGCGGTCATCCACAACGCGGTCCGCATGTTCTACCACCTCATGCTGGAAGGTACCATAGCGCCGCACGTGTGGTATCGGCTGTGGCAACGCCGACAGTCTTTGCATTTTGGTCCTTCCCGACAGCTTGAACGTGCTTTTGCGTACCTGAGTACACGATGGGTTTCGTCAACGAAGTTGTCTTACGGCAGCAAGTCGTTCGTCTGCAACATCAGCCAGGACAGCATTGCATCTGCTGGGCGCGGTTTGTCTAAGCACTTGTGCCCCTGGGCTCGCGTTTCCAAACACTTACATGATCTCCGAGTTTTCTCAGGTGTTGCGTGGCCGGCCAAGACGCTGCCCGGCGGCCTCGGGATTTCGGAGGTCTCGAGGGCGGTCGTTCGGAAGAACATGCAGTACGTGAGCATTTGTACGGTATGCAGCTTCACTATGGGGGGCCTGCTCTTTCTACTGTAGGGCTCTGGACGGCTCTCAACATCACTTTGATCCCCTTCCACGAGCATGACGATATTTGCGTACGTTGCGGCCAGGCCGTTGATTCGGTCGCTCATCGTATTTGGCATTGTCGTTGCAACCGGGAGGAGAGGCGAGCTTTGGATGCTGTTGCGCCCAGGCTTGCGCTACCTGGTGATTTGCCACCTTGTCTTGCTCGCTGCGGGTTGATCCCGGCCACGTATGCCCGACGGCATGTGCAACTTGATCATGTGATTGCAATTTCGTCTTATGTTATCCGTTTCAACGCCATTGCGACTCAAGCACTGGTTGACCACCGAGCCGGCAGACCATTGACACTTGATCAACCACGGTCGAGGCCGCTGTTGGACATATATCGTTCCGCTCTGCATCCGCTCAAGCGCATTAAGCCGGGTGCGGACAGCGGCGCGTTACGACGAGCAGCCGCGCTTGCTGATAACTTTCCTGCACGGCCAGATCCTGGTGTTCTTCCTCCCCCATTAATCCTTACTTTGTCTTGTGACGGGTCGTCGAGATCTGCAGACGGGGAGGATGTTTCTGGATGGGGTTTCATTGTGGCGGTCCCCAATGGGCACGCCCTGCGCGATTATTGCGGCCCCACGGTGACCGACCCCAGCGCCAAGTGCTACATCGGGGCCAGCCGGCACACCAACAACGTGGGCGAGCTCATTGCTATAGTTTACGCCCTCTCGTGGTTGAGGGAGCAACACACCACGTGGCTGACTCGAGGCAGCCAAGGAACTTTCAAAGCTATCATCGAGTATGACTCCGAATACGCGGCGGGGGTGGTCCAGCGCCGGATTACTGCTAGGCAGAACCTCAGGCTACATTTTTGACGAACTCTCTTCTTACATTTACTGGCGCAAAATTGCATCACATACTGGCCAGTTTTTGAACGAGAGAGCCGATTATCTCGCGAACTGCGGTGCGAAGGGGATGTGGTGTGGGCTTCTGGAGATCGTCTGGTGGGCCCGGAGCTCTTCTTCGAGCTGATCTTCGTCACCTGAGGACAGGCAGCCCCTGCTCATCACAGTTCACGGTTTTCTCTCGGTGCAGGCTTGAAGAGGAGGGTGCAGGGAAAGGGGACGACGGAGACGCAGGGAAAGAGGACAACGGATGCGTCGATTGAGCGCACGCCGACAGGAAGTCCACACGCCGACAGGGTCGGTGGATTCCCTCCTCCTCCGCCTCCTCCTCCTCCTCCTCTTCCCTCCTCCTCCTCCTCCTCCTCCTCCTCCTCCTCCTCCTCCTCCTCCTCCTTCCCTCCCCTTCCCTCCCTCCCTCCCTCCCTCCCTCCCCTCCCTCCTGCCACCTCACTCGTCCTTCTCTCCCTCGTCCCTTCTACCTCCTACCTGCCTCCCCCTTCCTCCTCCCTCCTCCTCCTCCTCCTCCTCCTCCTCCTCCTCCTCCTCCTCCTCCTCCTCCTCCTCCTCCTCCCCCCTCTCCGAGCGAGGCGCTGGCGCTGGCGCACCTGTGAGGCGCTGCACCGGGGCGGCCAGGCACCCCCCCGCGAAGGTCGCGCGAAGCTCGCGCGCGCGCGCGCGCGGGCTGCGACGGGCCGCTCGGCGCCGCGCCGCGCCGCGCCGCTCCGCCGCGCCGCTTCGCCGAGGCGGGCGCAGCGCGCGGGAGGCATTGGGCGCGCCCGCGATCCGAGGAGGAAGGCCGGAGGCCCGACGCTCCAAGGAGGAGGAGGAGGAGGAGGAGGAGGAGGAGGAGGAGGAGGAGGAGGAGGAGGAGGGAGGAGGGGAGGGGAGGGGGAGGGGGAGGGGGAGGGGGAGGAGGAGGAGGAGGAGGAGGAGGAGGAGGAGGAGGAGGAGGAGGAGGAGGAGGAGGAGGAGGAGCAGGAGGAAGAGGAGGAGGAGGAAGAGAAGGAGGAGGAGGAGGAGGAGGAGGAGGAAGTAAAAATCGGAGCGGCGGGATTTGGGCCGTTTTCGGCCTCGGGGGGCCCTCGCCGGGCCTCGGGACCGTCATAAAACGACGCAGGACGAAACACAGGCCCTGGGGAAGTGGTCCAGAGCTCCGGGGCCCACACATATCGAACAAATTTGAGCGGGCTGATGTCTGACAAGATACACGCCGATCGTTGAAAGCATGTTTTTTTTTAGATGGCTCCCAATTCCCAGTCTACTTTAGCGCCTTCCTACCTCAATTCTCGAGTGGCTTTGCCTATTCTTTCTTGTTCGGATGACGGGCGGAAGCGCAACCTACATACTTTCAACGTTTTTTTTCGTCCATTTCTTACGACCGGTGTGTCCCGCTGGCGCGCCCGTGGTCACAGGAAGAAAAAGATACCGGTATCTTTGTTCTCGAAGATAACGGCACAACAAGTTTTGGAGCTCTGCGCGGATTTCTTGGATCTGCGCTGGACCCCCCTCGCTGGCGCGCGGAGCGCGCCAGGGGCGGCGCTGGAGGCGCCGCCAGGGGGCACCATTGCAGATCCAAGAAATCCGCGCGGAGCCCATCCCCGACTTCGGCTCCGCCATGCTTTCTTTCGTCGACTGTCGGGCACAAAGGGAAGTCGGAAGGGCGCCCCAGACGATATATGCGAGAAATGGAGGGCAGGGCGGACATCCATACGACGACCATCGGAAGCCATGCGAATATCATGTGAAAACCACCCGATTACCATAGGACAATCATACGACTTCCATCGGAAACCATACGATTACCATAGGGAAGCCATACGACTAGCATAGGAAAACCACACGAGTATCATAAGACAACCATACGACTACCATAGGACAACTAAATGATATCTATAGGAAACCATACGACTACCATAGGACAGCCATACGACTTCCATCGGACACCATACGATCATCATATGACAACCATACGGTTACCACAGGAAGCCCGCATTATTATAGGAAATCCACACGGCTTCTATAGGATTTCCGTACGATTGTCATAGGGCAACCATACGATTACTGTAGGACAGCCATACGATTACCATACGACAGCCATACAATTTCGCAGAAGCCCTACGACTATCACCGGAAAACCACACGAGTACCGCAAAACCATACGATTCTCAGAAGAAAACCATACGATGATCACCAGAAAACCATATGATCATCGCAAGGAAACCGTACGGCAATCGCAAGATAACCATACGGTTATCATAATAAAACCTAGCGGTTATCGCCGGTAGCC